CCTCCACTCAAGACCTAACTCTATTTTCAATCTCGACTCTGATGTGGATTCAAACTCCTGACCTTGATCCGATTTTTTACCTCAATGCTAACTCAGGATATGACTCTAACCCGAGTTGGGAGTTCAAACCCGTGTTGGGATCGAGAGTAGAGACCCAAAACTTGAACTGGATAACGAGGTTGAAATACAATTTTAATTTTATTTATTATTTTATCAACAAAAATTATTTTTCTGAAGAAAAAGAACCTATATAAAAATATCTTAAACCACTAAATATGAGAAAATTAAAAAATATTTCCATTCATATCCAACGCAACCTTTGTGTTTTGTCCATCTTTTCTCGTAATTCATGGGACAATGATGTAGAAAGGAAGAATTTATGTATAAATTTTAACAAGTCAAAAATATAATCGAGTCGCAAATAAATTGATCCAAACACATCATTTAATCGTGTTACAATTTTGATCCAATCGAACACAAATTTCGATGTCACGTCATCTTCCCTTTCCAGACCTTCTTTCTCACCAAACCTAATCCATTTAAGTATAACCAAATTAGTTATATTGCTAATTTAACATTAAACAATTTTTACAATTATCAATTAATGTTAATTACATATGAAAACAAGCAAGCTTATTAAAAGTAGTTTTAGATCAGACTTCCTTTTTAATAACTAACTATCAAATTAAAAGTCCATATAAGCTCGCTCTTATTTGATTAGGATTTTCTACCTACTCATTTCAAAAATAGACGGCTCCGCAATAATATTATTTAAAGTTTATTTTGTGTGTGCAATAATAATTATTTATACTATACTTTAAATCATACGTTTTAAAATTTTCTATTTTAAATTTTGTGTTAGTTAATTAAACATATCATACATAAATTAAAATGGATAGAATAACGAATAATACTTCATAAAGTATCCAACTTGATAAGATAATCTAAAAAAAGCAACATAACAACTGATCTACATTGAAATTTATACTATATTTTAAATCATACGTTTTAAAATTTTCTATTTTAAATTTCGTATTAGTTGAACAAATATATCATATATAAATCGAAACGGATAGAATAACGAATAACACTTCATGAAGTATCTAACTTGATAAGATAATCCAGAAAGCAACATAACAACTGATCTACACATTTAAATTGCATTGATATAGTAAGGATTTGTTATATTATTAACGTGTGTATGTGTATATATATAGAAATATAAACTATTATTTAAATATCCTATAATATACTATACCTATGGGTAACGTACAAGTGTAATTTTTGAAGTTAAAGTCAAATGAATAGCAAAATTTCCACCTTTTAATTTATTTATAATTGACTTCTTAGATCTAATTAAAACACAATCAAGATCTAGACAAAATAATCATTTCAATTTGAAAAATGAAAGCTACCTATATTCCTCAAGAAACCAATCATTTCATTTAGATCACATTGTTTCTTAACTTGCATATCTTACTCAATTTTTTTCTTCACAAATTCTAACTCTCTTCGTAACATATTTAAAATCATAACAATAAATAATATTTTACATATTTTTAATTTTAAATAATATATTTTAATTTTATATTAAATCAAATAAATTAAAACAGATAAAAAACTTTCTTTTATTTATATATATACATCTTTTATATATTGACCACAAGTAAAGAAAAGACAAAATTTGAATGTGATATTCAACAGTCAACATTGATGAAATGTGGCATGTGATTTTTTTCTTTTTATTTATTTTAAATATTCTTGGCGGCCATTGATTAGTAATAATAGAAGACAAAATAGAAAAAGAATTAAGAAACTTTCGGTCACATTCAACTAAACCTCTTCTTAAATGATACTATATTGTATTAATACGAAAGGATTTACGCGTATCAAGTTGTGATGAAATGATTAATATTTTTTTATTTTTAATTAGATATTTCATATTTTAATTATACTAGCTAAGTATAAAGCTAATTTTATTAAGAGATATCTAATTTTAAAAGTGAAATATTTTAACACAAACTAAATTTTAATATGAATATCAATATCGAATTAAAAAAAAAGAAAGAATGAATTTAAACAATATATAAAATTTTTTATATTAGTATACTCTATCATGTTGTAGTATAATAATATTAAATGCTTTATTTGCCAGCTTTCTAATTTCAACTTCCCATAGGGGATTAATACAACTTGATAATGTCAATTTTCTTTTATTATATTGTTTACGTATATAGAAGATCACGTTTATTATTGTTGTTGTTTGCTATAACGTATAAAAGATAAATTCAACATGAAGTACTCCCTCAACAGCTCAACTATTTAATGCGATTTTATTTTGTTTAAGGCCAAGTTTATTCAAAGTTAAAAAGATACTTTTAATAAATTTATTTCAAAATTGGGGTATTTAACCATTTTTTCTTTAATTTATATACTGTGAATAAGTTAAAAAATACTAATAATAGTAGTTTCACAGTCATGTGCCCCCAGCTTATGACAATGGGTCGTTTGGTTGGTAATACTTCAATCTTTGTACTTTTTACTACTTGTTTATTTTCAAAACACAGTAAATTTTTATCAAGAAAATATGATAATTTTTTTCATATTATTTTCTCAAATTTCTCAGCATTAAACATTTATTTTGTAAATTATTTTTCAAGATAATCATTTAGTAAGAATAGTTTAGTAAAATATATTTTATTTAATTATTTTTCTAAATAGAAGTATCAAAGTCAAACGATAACAAAATAAACCCAAAATACTCCCTCCATTTCTAATTATTTGTAACCATTTTTTTTATTTCAGGCGCATTAAGAAATTAGGTAAATTTATTATTTTATTTTTATTTCATTTTTTAAATCAACTTACTCACATTTGATGTTTAAATCAATTCAATACATGCATTTCATATGTTTAAATTTATCATTTACTTTATTTAATTGATATATATTTTATTTTATTAAATTACATAATAAAAAAATTAAATTAATTTGAAATAAATATCGCGAATATATTTTTTCACACATAAGAACAAAATAAAAAAATAATAGACCAAACTGTTTATAGGATGAAATATTAAAAGAGGGGAAAAGAAATTTCTCTAAAACTTTAGACCATTCCACTATTCCTATTCTAGGAAAAGTCAAAGCATGCCTTTAATAAAATATGTATTAATTTCTTCGTTCCATATTGTTTGTCATGATTATTATTTTAAAAATTAAATTATAAAATTTTTAATTAACATTTTAAGAAGTATCTTTTCATTCTATCAGTACGTAAAAAAATTGTAATTTATAATATTTTTCATATAATTATAAAATATTTATTCTTTTATATTAAATTAATATAATTTAATTTAATTTTAAAAATTAATCAAATAATTCCGGAAGGAGGGAGTATGTCAAGATTTATTTACAAATATAAAAAGATGAAACCCAACTCCACCCAAAATCAAACCAATTTTTCCCTTTCTTCCTCCAAAAAAACCCCAAAAAATATCTGATAAAATGGAGAATTTTAGATCTATGTCAACAAGAGAAGGAACTATGCAAATAGAAAGTTACTATGGTAGAGGTCCAACAAATATGCAAGATTTGAGAAGTTATAGTACTAATTCTTATTATTCCTATGGAGATAAAGAAGTCAAGATTAAAAAGAGTAAAAGCAGAATCTCTTCTTCTTCTTCTGCAAGAAATTGGGCTTTTAATGATCCTGAATTACAGAGGAAAAAAAGAGTTTTTGGATATAAATCTTATGCTATTGAAGGTAAAATGAAAGGTTCTTTTAGAAAAAGTTTCAGGTGGATCAAAAATACTTGCAATCATGTTGTCCATGGAATCTGGTGATATATTTTCTTCAAAGGTTGCGTATACATTACTCTCCTCGGACTCTACTCGTAAAATTATAATGAATTTATTGTTGTTCATCTTGTATTATTGAAGAGATAAAAAGTGGGGTTCATGTTTTTCTTACGTGGTTGTAATCTTGCAAAAAAAATCAATGTTATTATATTATATACTAGTATTATATAGATTGATCTTTTATTGAGGATTGAGATTTTGGAGTTTTATGTTATATGTGATACACTTTGAAGGTGCAATTGTTAAAAGGATAATTGGAAACTTTATTTCTCTGGTTCAAAGATTTGAGTTATAGATAAATTCTTGATAAGTAGTGTGAATTTGAAAAATTATTAAATTTTAATAGGAATATCAAATACTTATCGAAAATAAATAAAAATAATATTTTAAATTGTGATCAATATCTTGTTGATGAAAAGATAATAAATTCTATATATATGTACAACAAAATAGGAGTGGTTAATGATAGCTGTTGAAAAATAAATAAAATTGGGAGTGGTTCATACTGTCTTTAAAATCTCATGAATTGATCACTGAGTAGCACATAAAGAAAGGGTACCTTTTCTTTTTTGCTTCTTTTTACTTTTTACTTCATTTTTTCCATCTATTGGACAAAAAAAGTGAATACCAAAATAGGAATCTGCTAAAAAAATAAAAATCACATGCCTAATTTTGATCAATTAGGGGTGAAAATATCATAAATTACCGTTGGACATAAATAAATAAATATTTAGATTGAGTTGTAGAATTATTTCGCTCACTTAACAAGATTCAATTTTTAGTAGTATAACTTTTGAATTGTCCTCTTCACAATTAACTCGAACAACTCTGAAGAATATAAAAAACAACCAAAAGAACACCACCTTCATTCAATTTTGATTTTTTTTGTTTTGTGGTACCTCTTTTTGACTACACTATCCTCAAAATATTAACACAATAAAATGTTTCGTTTTTCATCTATATAATACAGACTTCTCTCACCTACACAACACCAGAAAAAATAATCTTTTATATAGGTGTAGGAAATAATGAGAACAACATGCCATAGTGGATACATGAAACACAAAGAATAAAGACAACTTTCTCCACATTATGCCTACTAATATATGATGCAATTTAATTAAATATTAAAAAAGCACATAAACACTCAACAACTTGCAATTCAGATTCAAGCACAATGGCAAAAAGATGGGTGTAACTCCAATACAACAAGTCTCAAGTGAATATTTAGTCTCCAACCATACAAAAATACATTCATAATTCACAACATAACACCATTGAAAATGCACAGAACTCTCATAAAGGGGGATAGAGAGAGGGAGATGAGAAAAAAGAAAGTGCCAAATGTACAGAAGAAGCATATGCCAAAGATTACTAGAGGGATCTCACATTAATTTCTAGTTTTAGCCTTTCCTGATGGCAAATCGTAGCGATATACCCAAAGTTGATGCAATTTTTCTGCCAAGATTTTGCAGTAACCAGAGAGAACTGAGATAAAGCAGCAAAGCTAGTAATGCAGCCTCTCATCATTTTTGACACTTAGGCCCTCTATTCCTTTAAGGGCGGCCTCAAAGTTCTTGTCCATTCTAGTGGAGGAGCTGCGCTTCTGATCTGATGACATGACTGGTGAACTTCTCTGAGCAACACTGGAAGTTTTACGGAGCTGTCCTGGACTTGCATCTGTTTTCCGAATGTGAGAGGGATCAGGTTCAACACCGGTGATCACTGGATCACGACTGCTAGAGACAGCTGGACGCCTAGTTGATCCACTAGTCCGGAAAAAACTTGAACTAGATAACTGCAACATGAGCTCAGTCAAAATTCCTTTATTCCATTGGTTGCCAACAGAATCACAAAACATGAGTTTATTTTTTGCTTGCATTCTGCAAGTTTCTCTGATCTCGTTTTTGTGATGTTTGACAAGGAGAAAGTGCAATAAATTGATGAGACATAAATACACATAAAAAGAAACAAAAAAAAAAAAAAAAGACAGGCAGGCAAAATCATAAAATCCCCTACCTCGTAAATTGAAATGACACAAAATTTATGCCATCTATAGTCTACTCGTAAAATCAAAATGCACTCATAATCTTGTGCTAACTTATGTTCTACTAAAACACAATTAGTTTGATTTAGTACTAACTACTATCATTTGAATTCAACATAAGCAGGGGGATACTTGTAAAATAACAAGACTGACAGAGTAAGAGGAGTCACCTCTTTACCCATGGATAAATCATTGGCAACTGTCCCTTTTTGCTTTGCTAAGCTCCCAGAGTTGAACTGCAGCCCCGTGTTCCTATTACGAGCAAGATTGCCCGACCAACCAGCAGGCCGACCTTCTTCACCACCTGCATAGTATGTGCAGCATGTTCTTTATAGGCCCCAATAAATAGCAAACTAGCAGATTAGGGATAGTAAACTTTCCTTAACAAACCCGGGACAGTCAAAATGACTAACATGATGAAGTAGTGAAAAATACATGTTAGTATTATCTTTTCCGTAAAAGGCTAAAGATGGCACTTATTAGGAAAGATACGAGGGATGAAATGAGTTGCACAGTAAGTAGTAAACATAAGAGGAACTTATACAAGCTCTCTGTTGCAAGTTATGTCCAAGTTTATTGTAATTTATCATCAGCAAACCGCCAATGACATTATATGCACACAGAAGTTCTAACATGTACTGATTGCATATGATCTTCTTTTATGCTTGAAGTGAAGAACACATAAGAAGCCCACCTGATGGCCTCTCAGCATTAGCAAGAGCATGAGGCATCCCGGAACTTGGTCCAGCGGTACCACCCTGCACCAAAATTTATCATTTCATTTAACATCCTGACGCCAATTAACACATAATCTGATCTACCTAAGTCACTTACAAGAGCACGAGATGGAGGATTGGCAAGCTGTGACTGCTGATATTTCAAAATGGTCCAGTCAAATACATAATCAAACTGAAAACCTGAAAGGACGAAAAAAGAGAGAAGAAAGAAAAACTGAAAAACAAACTCTTGAGCAAAACGTTAACTGAACACCTTACACTGTCTATACAGCAAGTATCATTGCATGGAAAGAAATGAGCATACCTTCACGAATGAAAAGGTCACGGAAAATTCTCTTGAGATAAGCATAATCTGGTTTATCCTCAAACCGCAGTGATCGACAGTAGTGAAAATATGATGCAAACTCTGTAGGATAGCCACGACACAATGTCTAGAAAAGGAAAATATGTGTCAGTATCATTATTAAAAATCATAGTGCTCACAAGAAAAATATTTGAACATAAAATGCCTCTATTGATGTTGAAACTTTCTTCTCACTGATCCTCTCATACTTCTGTTTCTTTGTCCCTGCTTTCAGCCCCTGCCAAGGAAGACTACACATTTTGAAATCAGTAAGTAGAAGTACCATGAAAGAAGAGCTAAAGACAAACAGAAAAAGAGAATTACACAAACAGAAAAAGAGAATTACAGGAATAGATTCTACCTTCCTCTTAAGAAGTACATTAGGACATAACCCAGTGATTCCAAATCATCCCTTCGGCTTTGTTCTATAATTTGAAAGCAACAAAGAATCAAGGATGTCTTCAAGAATAAACACAATGCACAAATACGAAAGCGTACAAAAGTTTATAAAACCAAAATCTTACCGATGCCGAGGTGAGTATTCATGCTTGCATATCTGGCAGTTCCTGTCAAATTTTTGTTTTCTCTGTATTTGAATTTAGAAGAACAAAAAAATTAGCCACTCATTATCTAGAGATGCGTCGTTCCTTTAGCTAATAGAATAAATGAGAAAAGAATGCAAAAAACATTTACAGTAATGGAATTCAACTCACAAAACAAAAACTACAACTTTGACGAGCTCAAAATAGAAATAACCCACCTCAACACAAACCAACAACGAAACTCTGCTCTCACTACTCAGATTTCAATAAGTAGTGTGTCTTTTCAATAAATAATGAAAATGGTGGCACTAGATTGACGATGCCTTCACCAGTAACTTGGAGAGAGAGAGAGAGAGAGAATCGATGAAGGGAACTCAAGAGAATAAGTTATAATCATACGAGAACTAACCAACTTGCCGCAATTTCAAACTAGTTGGGACTTGGGGTAGACAATATCATAATTTCACTATCTTTATGCTAGCCGTCATCTTATCGCAACTCTCCAACTTTATGTGGACATGGGAAAAAGCTATCAATTTTTGGTTTATCTCACTACCTTACTGTAGTTGGAAAGAAAAGTGGTAATCCAGAATATCATATAGAGGTACCCTGTCGTAATATAGAGGTACCTATATAGAAAATGCAGCAAAGAGACCACATAGAACTTAATACTTGCTATGAACCATCCTTCTTAGACAAACTATATCAATCCATGGAATATAAGCATTATCTTATCCTCTCTTGAAAAAGTTCAAAGGAGTTTACTATATGATTAATCAAAAATCAAAGATCATTTTTTTTGTTGGGTGGGGAAGCTTACCTATATGGAATATGCTGATGAGTGGTGGAGTCCCTAAACTTCTTAGCCAGCCCAAAATCAATGATATAGACCTATATGTAACCGATGGTAGTAGTGAATCAGTAATTAGCCCATTAGCAACAGGTGAATAACATAGCAATCAATAGTTTTGATCCCAATACCTGATTTGCACGTCTTCCTAATCCCATCAAGAAGTTGTCTGGTTTTATATCTCGATGAAGAAAAGATTTGGCATGAACAAATTCGACCCGATTTATCTAAAGATTAAATACAAATGAAAACATGTTTGAAATAGTTAAACGAAATAAACAAGTGCAGAACTTTACACCTACCATCTGGTCTGCAAGCATAAGAACAGTCTTTAGGGACAGCTTCCTACTGCAGAAGTTGAAGAGATCTTCAAGACTGGGTCCAAGTAAATCCATCACAAGGACATTATAATCTCCTTCAACTCCAAACCATTTTAAATTGGGGATTCCAGCTATCAATGTCAACAAAAAATTCCAACTGATGAAGACAGGATATAAACATTATGTAGCAAAGAAGTAATACTAGCCAACAAGAAGAATGAGAAATTACTTCCTCCTTGTAGTATTTTATATAGCTTTGATTCATAGAGTAGTTGAGGATGCTTTGTCTTCACATTTTCCTGAGCAAAAGGAAACGGCAGAAGTATTCACAAACTAAAAGAATTCCACTAGTGATGGAAGATAGATAAATCAGAAGTCATAGACCACGTGTCAGCTTTAGTGCCAAAATGGAAAAGGAGCAATCAATGCCATGAGTATCATTAAAGAAATCAGAAGTCATAAGAGCACGTGTCAGCTTAAGTGCCAAAATGGAAAAAAGAGAAATCAATGCCATGAATATCAGCATGTAAAAGCAGAACTTCAGTTTACCAAATCACCACGAAATTAAAGCTGTGAAGCTGTTCTAATAATAACTACAAAATCGACAGGCAAATTCAAGACACAAATTAGGTAGCAGGAAATAATCTAACGTAAGCATATCAGCCACCAAAAGCGGCCGTGAGAAACATGTACAGTAAGTTTTTTACAAATTTATACACTTTCACGTATTTGTGGTCTTGTTATTAGTTGCTAATCCTAAATGTTTCCATGTAAAGCATCTTGAAACTCAGAACATAAGCCAGATTGTAATGGTAAGATCAGATGTCACCTCAAGTTACGAGCCTAAAATTTCCATCTCTTGCGCAGCTACATTTGGTTAATCTTGGTGATGTTTCTGATGAGCAGAGAAGCTGGTTTCATGAGCTTGCTATTTTTCACAAAAATGCTTTGTTTCAGTTTTCGGAGTTTATACTTATTTTGTTGCTGGAAATTAGTGTACAACCTTGCCTAAAATCAGTGTGCTATATAGCACTTCTATTGTTCTAGAATCTTTAGATTATTTACATCTTTTCATTTATTGCCAAACATCCTCTGATCAACGACAACAATACCAATCTATGTTGCTCGGACTCTTCAAATATGTCGACAAGTGCGTGTCTGATCCTCCAAAATTAGTGTATTTTGAAGGATCCGACACAGGTGCAGCAACATTTTTGGAGAGTCCGAGCAACTTAGATATAAATACCCAATGTAGTCCAGAAGTGGCGTATTGGGAGGATAGGATGTTTCCGGATAAACCTTCTGCTCAAAAGAAGAGTTATCGAAGAAGTATCGCACGAAAAATATGACATCAAAATAGCAAGATACAAAGTGCAGCAACAAATAGTTGTACACATTGAAGATTGAGAGACTACTTGACTACTAAATAATACTACTAATAAGGAGAGGAGGAGGCTAGCATCCTACCTGTCTCTCACACATAAAAGGCGACAACAGTCGGCTACCTACAAACAATCTACCTAATCAATGACCTCCAAATCTTCCTATCTAGGGGCATGTCCTCAGTAAGATGAGGTTGTATCGTATCCTGTCTAATTACCTCCCCTCAGTTTTTTTTGGCCTACATTTACCTCTCCTAACTCTTGCTACAACCAACCTCTCACACGTCTTTATGGGTGCATCCGTGCACCTCCTCTTTATATTCCTAGACCATCTCAATCTCGCTTGTTTTCCATAGAGGCCACTCCACCTTATCCATTTAACTTCGTTTCTAAGCATATCTCTTCTCATATGCCCATACATCCATCATAGCATCCTCATCTCCGCTACCTTCATCTTCTGAACATGAGCGTTCTTGACGGGCCAACACTCGACCCATAAAACAACGATCCTCTAATCAGTTACTAAAAATTGCGCGGCCCAACACTCGACCCATAAAACAACGATCCTCTAATCAGTTACAAAAAATTGTGCGGCGCAGATGCTTGATCTAAATGCAAGTAAGGAAAAACTTCAATAACTTCCAACTAAAAACAAATGAGAAAGACTCCAACTTTCAACTAACAGCAGCTCAAATTCCTTACTTACACAATCAGAAAGCAACAAAATACAGAATTATACCAACAGGCAAACGCAGAAAGTAAAAATCTAGGAAAAACAAATACCAGCTTAATTGCAACCTCTTCATTGGTCTGAACATTAGTCCCTAAACATCACAAAACCCAGAATTAATCAGAAAAATGAAAAAAAAAAATCACAAACAGCAAAATTGAAGTAGATGGGGTTGCATAATTTACCAAGGTAGATCTCACCAAACGAACCACTTCCGATTTTCCGTCCGAGACGAAACTTATTTCCAACACGAGGCTCCATTGATTGGAGGCTCAAAGATTAATTATGAAAAAATGTAAAGGATACCCAATTATAAATGGGAAATCTTAAATCCAAAAATTGGATCTAAGAATACAAAAAATGGATTAATTAATTAGGTTTATGAAACTAGCAACGTATGGAGCAAGATGATCCATATGACTGGATAAAACAAAAAGATTGCAGATTTTAGGTATTTTTGTCTTGTTGTCCCTCTGCCTCATGGCGAAGAAACATGATGAATCTTCTTTACATATCACTGCTTCAGCTTTGCTTCTGATCCAAATTTCAATTCAATCCACCATTTTTTCTCTTTCTCTCTCAGCTTGACTATGGTGAATTGCTGATGACTTTTGTCAAAATGTGTTTGCTCTTAAAAAATATATCCCATCTTTTTCAATCAAATAATTAGTAATATTATCTTAGGGTGTGTTTGATAAGAAGGGAAAATATTTTTTTATTTTTTTAAAAAATATGAGTAATTATTTTAGTTGTTTGATAATTAGGCCAAAGAAAATGTATTATTAGAGTATTTACCTAAATAATTGGATAAAGGAAAACTTACATAAATATATTATATTAAGAAAATATTTATTATTTATAGTAATAATAGCTTTTTTCACTTAATTATTTTTAATATATTATAATATATTTTTAATACATATTATAAGAAACAATTTATTATTCATATATATAATACAAGTTTTATTGATGATTAATATATTTATCACAAATTTTAATATACTTATAATACAATGTGTCAATTTCTTACAAAAATAAATTTTAAAAACAGTATAATACATATTTTTTATATACATAATTGAATTTTAATACATATTATAGATTTAACATAATATCACTAAAAATCAATAACTATTTATTAAAAGGTATCCTTCCATGTAATTTTTTTTATTCCATGCCCACATTCAACTGTTCATGAAAAATGAGATTCTCACTCACATCTTTCAATCACAATACTCAATAGTTTAACTAAAGTCACTTTTTCCTATTTAATGAGTGACGAATGAACTTAAAATTCATTTATTTTGTGTTTTATTATTTCCAATTCACATCTTCAACAACAACAAAATCAATAATTCCCCGCAAATAGGAAATAACAGTACGAGAGTTTGGAGCTTTAAGGATAAAAAAAATTGACAAAAATTTTAAAATGATATATTAAAAAATTTTCTAATTAAAAGGGTAAAATTGCTAGTTTGATAGCGATTTATTTAATGTCGGTAATAGATCAAAATCACTGTTCTAGGAGCGATTTTGTCCAATTTTTTTTAGAAAATTTCTATTCCTATAGCATTTTTGCAATTTATCTTCTTTTTTTTTTTAAAAAAAATTAAGATCGTTGCTATAATAACGTTTTTTATAAAAACGACTTTTTTATTGGAAATCGCCGCCAAGACAGCGATTTTCCTCAATTTACAGGTCCCACACTACTTCAACGTTACACTTCTTCATATTTAAACAAAAATATTCAAAAATAAAAAATAAAAATCCACTAAAAGGCAGCAATTTCTTAAAAAAAAATGCAAAATACTAACGCTGCCAAGGCAGCGATTTCCAATTAAAAAGAAAAAATCAATAACAAATATCGTTGCCTTCAAAAAAAAAATTCTTCTTTAAAAAAAAAAATTGCAATAACGCTACAGGGGCAACAATCCCCCCGCCCCCCAAAAAAAAACATTTGTACAAGATCGAACCTAGAGCAGCGATTTTGATCTATTACCGGCGTTAAATAAATCGGTACGTCAGTAGTGATGTTACCCTTTTGGTTAGAAATTTTTTTGATGTACCCTTTTAAAATTTTTGTCAATTTTTTTGCCCTTTAGGCTCTAGACTCAACTACATGAGCCATGAAAAAAAATTGTACAACTCACAAATAGAAATTATTGCTGTCTAGATGAGTAAATTTTTCTTTGATCTTTTGCGTGATACTATTAATCAATAGGTAAATATGATATATGTGAATCATTGAATTTGGTATATAACAAAACAACCACAAATCACACGATCAATTCTTTAATCATCTTTGATTCTCATTGTTTTGTTTGCTTCAACATGAACATCATTCAATTTTATTTATACCTAGAGAATTGACCTTACAAAAGCTTTATTAAGTGACTTTTAAACTTCACATTTATAAGCTAATACCAAATCTTGCAATTTCTATAAATACATTATTTATAATATCATATCAAGTTAGAAATCATTAAACAACAATACTATTTTATTATTCACACTGAACATGATCTTCATTACGAATAAGCTGATATTTGTGTTAAATAATATTGAACCATCAAACATAACTTTATTTTTCTCTTCAAACCATTATTCAATAACAATATAATACAATATACTATAACAAGTTAACAACCATCCAAACAACTTGTAACAAACACCAAACGTAATGTATATACTTTACAATATACAACAACTAAAATCTCAGTCCCAACTAATTGTTATTATGGATAATTTGATTTCATTATGTTCTATCATTATCTAATTAGTCAACATCAGTTCCAGAATATCACTCCATATTTTAATGATAAGTTGATCCAAAGTAAATGGATTAGGTAGTTTGATGTTGAATTAGTCATGTAAACTTGTTAACAATTTCATAAATTGTTGACATTGAAACCAAGAGAAATGTGTGTAAGCTTTTTCTCATAACTTTACAAGGATTGTATTTAAGTATTTGTACACTGCAATGTTCACAGTAAGTACTTCCTAGCTAATGAATGATCTCATTTGTTGATCATCAGTATACTCGTGAGTTAAAAAAAAAAAAAGAAGAAGAATTTTACAAATAAATCAGAAAGGGCCAAGGGGGGAAAATTTGGAAATGGCCAAACTCCATTTCATGGGGAAAAAAAGAAGAAAAAGCAATGCACAGTTATGCTTATGTTTACTCCATCTGTGAATGCTTTTTCTGTAGCCTTCCTTTCAAATTCCTAATTTTGGCATCTACTCTGGCTGTGAAACCGATGTTCGTCTTCTGTCTTGCTTTAGTTTGTTGTCTCTTCCACATACGTTCATCTTGAACGTCTTTCTTATAATACTTGATTTCTTGAATAATATGATGGTCCCTCGGATGGAACGCTCTTTGGAAAGCTACGTGGGCAAGGTAAGGTAAAATGCAGGCTAAAGTTACTAGGAGGGTGGTACACCAAAAGATTGGAGCAGGACCTAAATGTTCCTGAAGGATTCTATAGGCATATTTAGCGTAATCTGGGAATATCTCACCGTAGAGAACAACAGATAGGTACCAAACAGCAATGCTCCCCCAGATAAAAACATGTTGTATCCATGTGAAATGACTCATTGTTAGCGCGATCTGGCAGTTGACAGCCCAGATGACACAGGTAAACATTGAAGTACCAAGAATAGCCAAGTCAGCAGTCTGGCCTTCAGAGTGGAATGCTTGATCATAGAAGAAAAAAACGTTGAGGAAGAAAACCACGAGGGAAGTGTAGATGCCGTTGCTAAGCCACCCAAGTATTCTATACCAGTCAAAGAACAAGTTTTTTGGTCCTTGTTGGTACAGTGCAGGAAACTGCAGAGGGCATTAAAGGTTTTAATAGATTAACAGATAGGAACTCTTAACACTGCCAAAGGACTCACTCACCTGTAAGCAAACTTCAGAAGACACATCCTGCTCGAATACTCCGAGTGCAATAACAGGCAATGAGGTAAGAAGCACATTGAATAGAATCATATACATATCATTGTAGACTGACTGTCCGGAAAATCCAGCATAAACCTCAAAGTAAAAGAGTGTGAGGCCAAAAGCTATATTTTTATAGAAGAAGTAGCATATCTGCATATAGAAGATTATGGTACAGATTAGATGAAATATGTGTAAGGATCCAAGTAATATATGGCATTTCATGTTTTGTGCATGAAATGAAACAGATATGCATCAATTACCATCTGAGCTATTCGTTTGTAGCACCAATGCCCGTGTACAACGAGGAGTCTCTCCAAGAACCGAAACTGTGCAACAGCAAAATCACTAGCCATCACTGCCTGCAAGAAGCTGATAACCATTTAAGCGCAGTTACAGCAAGAGGATATACTCGCCAAGGGGAAAATATGACCTTGTTCATTTCTCAAGACTGATGCAAGAATACTTTGTATATGCATATTATAATCCCAAGTAGAATGTAAAGTTACTTTTAATAGATTGATAAGGCAAACCCGGTATACGCATTACCAACCTGCATTCCTTCTGCACCACTAATGCCTACACCAATGTCTGCTTCTTGAATCATCCCAACATCATTTGCACCGTCACCAATGCCTAGGGTGATTTTTCCAGTCCCCTCCTTCACTAACCTAGTTACCTGACAAGTATGAATCGGTTCACTTATGGAAGAACGAATATTCGAGATAGATTTGCAAAAGCAAACGAAATCAAGTTTGAGACTATCTTACCAGAGCTTTCTGCCTAGGAGAGACACGGCAGCAAATAACTGAAGCACAATCAACAGCTAAATTCAAAAATTGAAGCTTCGTATCATCCTCCAATGCATAAGATAGTGTTTTCCCATCAATTATCAAAGCAAATGCAGCATGAGGATCCTTTTCAAGTTTGACCATCTGGGAAGCATTTGTGATTTGCTTCAAAATGTTCTCCTTTGTAGCCTGATCAGTAACAAACAAACGGAAAACTGTCATGAATGATAGTTATAAATTTCCACTATTTAATTCCAGCAAATCTACCTGTTTAGAATCTTGGGCCACTGAGTCCGCATCCACTGTTGTTATGCATATCTGTTTCATTCCTTGTCGAAGCAAACTACACGCGTACCCTATGTTTATGGCTGTTTCCATCTTATCACCTGTCAGAACCCATATCTTGAGACCAGCTTGCGCCAGCTTATCTATGCACTGAGGAACCTGGTGAAAATATATGTTAAAAAAGGACAGTGAAGGAAAATGTATATACTTTCATTTCTAGTTCTAGTCATAAAGGAACATACTCCCTTCTGTAGTTTGTCCTCCACAGCTGTAGCACCAACAAGGATCAAATCCTTTTCCATCATATCAGATACACGTTCAAGAACTACATCTCTGTCCCCACCAATTGAAGTTTTTGCTTTAGTAAACTCTTCATTCCAAGTCGAGTACTCTGCCTCATCCAGTTTCTTGTAGGCAAGCACAAGAGTACGTAACCCTGCTTCCCCGTATTCATTCAAATGCTTAGTCATAGCTTCCTCAAACCTTCTTCCATTCTTTGCCAATCTATCATAGATGATGCTGAATAATCCAAATAGACAAAATTTAATTTAAAATCTAAACAAGACAGGCAGTTATAGGCTACACTGATAAACTTAAAAAATAGCACAAACAAGGGAAATTCATCCCTTATGA